CATGGCCACCACCACCATCCCTACCACCCTCCCCCACCTTCACCACCACCCTCCCCCACCCATCTCTACCATACCACCACCACCTACTATTTGCAACCGAATGATTAAATATATCTAAACACATATGATTTATATGAAAAAAAAAACAAATATTGTCTATATAAATCATATGTGATTAGATACATAGAATCAAATGTGATTATATACATGAGAACAACAATTAAATCAAGAACATGAAAAAAAATTTCCACATAAATCATATGTGATTAAATACATATAGTCACATGTGATTAAATACAAAAACCAATTATTAAATCGAAAACGTGAAAATGAATATTGCCCACATAAATCATATGTGATTAAATACATATAATCACATATGATTATATGTATGTAATCACATATGATTTATATAGACAATATCTTTTTTCCAAATTAAATCATGTGTGATTAGATACATAAAATCACATGTGATTATATGTATTCAATCACATATGATTTATGTGGACAATATTTATTTTTCACGTTTTCGATTTAATAGTTGGTCTCGTATATTTAATCACATATGACTATATGTATTTAATTACATATGATTTATGTGAAAAATATTTGTTTTCATGTTCTTTATTTAATTGTTGTTCTCGTGTATATAATCACATTTGATTCAATGTATCTAATCACATATGATTTATATCGACAAGATTTTTTTAATATAAGTCATATGTGTTTAGATACGTATAAGCATATGTGATTAAATGTATTTAATTACATAAATACATATAATCTTGTGCACATAAATCATATGTGACTAAATACATATAACCACATCTGCTTAAATACATATAATCATATGTGATTTGATATGTATAATCACATGTGATTTGATATATATAATCACATGTGATTAAATACATGATAAAAATGTTGAATATAAAAGGTGAAAATGAATATTGTCTATATAAATCATATATGATTAGAGATATTATACATATAATCACATGTGATTATATACACGAGAACATCTATCGAATCAAAAACGCAAAAAAAAAAAAAAAAAAAAAAAAATCTTTTGCACATGCATCATATGTTATTAGATGTATATAATCATATGTGATTATTTACACGGGAACAACTATTAAATCAATGACGTGAAAAAAAAATATTGTCTATATAAATCATATATGATTAAATACATACAAATCTTCATTTTCGCATTCTCGATTCAATAAGTGTTTTCGTGTACTTAAGCACATGTTATTATATGTATTTAATCATATATGATTTATATGGACAAATTTTATTTTTGTTTTTTCAATTTAATATTTGATCTTGTCTTTTAATCACATACATAGTATAATAAACATACAAATCCTATATAATCAAATAAGCAAAATTTGAAATCAAAATTGGTTATACAATTAAGTAATTCAAGTTTTATAGTAATTCGATTTACAAATAACAACGTAACTAAATTTATTAATTAATTCAATTTATATATTATGTAATTCAATTTACAAATAACAATATAGGCGTTGTAATTGATTACACCGATCGTCCCTCGTGCATATGCCAGAAAGCGTGTTTAGTCCCTATTTTTAAAAATTAACTCGGATCGTCCCTTGTTTTGTTTTTTCTTGCTTGCTTAGTCCCTCTGCACATAAAAAGACCATTTTACCCTTATTTATTTATTTTTTGATTTATTTTCTATTTACTTGTTATTTATTAATTATATATTGATTTGTTTATTATACAAAATAAATATTATTGCATTTAAAAAAAGAAATGGGCCGATACATTTAATCACTCGTCTCCCCCTCCCCTTCTTCTTCTTCTTCAGTACATCTCATATCTACCGTCCCCACCCACAACGAGCGACTTCAATGCTCCGGCAACTCCTTCAGAAAGTCCTGGACATCTCCAGTTTCATACAGAGGAGATCGACTCCAAGACACCGGCCAAGTTCAGTCTCTATTTTACTCTTTTCTCCTGTTTCCCCTATTCTGATCTCATACTTGCATCTCTCCATTTTCATATTTGGAAATGGAACCATTTGAGTTTCCCCTTCTCAAGATTTTCCACAGATTACCCAACACCACCTATCACCGCTAGCACCTCTGACACCACCACCTATCACTGCCATGTCCTCCTCCAACCAAATCATAATCTGAAAACCTTACACCTGGCTTCTTCCTTGATCTGAAACCTTAGGCGGAAATTGATATGAACATATGTGGAGAAGGAGATCAATCTAAACGTATGTCGACAACTTCTTCCTTGATCTAAACCTTGCACCCATCTTCTTCATCAATCATCCCAGTATGCTTTCCATTCAATCAGACTTATGGTTTGTATGATTTCCTTACATGGTGCATCCAGAAATCCAGATGTAAAAGAGATTTAAAAAATCAATCTAGGTTAAAATATGATAATCATCGATTGTAAAATTTCCCAAACATGGATTGTTTTCTAATAAACAATCATAATTATAAAAAACATAGAGAGAGAGAGAGAGAGACCAACATTCCAATTCGACCATATCTGAAAGGCACTTGGTACCAATTTGAACGGATCTAAAATGGGCTTCAACCCATCTGCAACCCCGTATAACCATGGCGTTAGAGATAGTGTCTGCTTCCGTCTCCGATTATAACGCCTTCGCCTCTGATTCGAATAGAGAATTAAGAAAGAGTGTGACAGTTCTACAATGAGAACGGAGAAGAGGGAAAGAGATCGACTATTCTTCATATCTTTCTGGCGATGGCTTCCCCCCATCACAAAAACAGATCGAGAGGAGGTAACCTTGCTCCTATGGTGTCTGATTTAGGTTTCGGATTCATGGTAGCTTTTGAGGTGCATATCGACTTCATGGGTATCTTGAATTTTTCCAGAAGCATATGATTTTGTCGGCGGGTTCTACAATACTGAAAGAAAACAGAAATGTGAGATGTAGAGGGTAGGTGAGAGTGGGCCCGATTTCCTATTTTAAATGATAAATAATATTAGATTAATTGAAAAAAAAATACACAGGGGCATTATGGTCATTTTAAATCTGGTATGGACTAAACCTGCAACAAAATCGTCTTTTAGGGATGAAACATGCAACTTTAAACCAAACGAGGGACCGTCCGAGTTAATTTTTGAAAATAGGGATTAAACGTGCCTTTCGGCACCTGTACCAGGGACGATTCGTGTAATTTACCCAATAAATTAATTGGAAATGAATGGATACGAGAGAGCCACCATATATGTACTTCGATATGAAGTAAATTAAATAATTAATATAAACTAAAGTGAGTATGCAAACACTTTATTTTTTTATTTATAATATAATTTGCAGTATTACCTGCAACCTCCATCGATGTATCCTCCAGCTACATGATAGAAGATACATCACTTTAGCTTAAAATCCAAATCGCCCCCAAAAGCCACAATCATCTTCAAAGGAACCAGAATCAACATCCTATCTACATCTGTCGTTGCCTCATTTCAGCCATGGACAAAACCCCGAGTAACCTGAAAAAATTGACGACTGCGATGAAGATGACGGAAAAGGTAACGATGTGAGTAGTTCAGAGGATAGAGATAGAGAGACTTCGGATTAGAACATTTAGTATTGTCAAACGAAGGGATTTAATGTGTGGTAAATGGTGATTATGATAGTAATGCTTCAGTATCAAAATTTGGGTTTCTTCTTCATGAGTTACTGCCTGACCTCTGATTCTTATAATACCTTGTGGTATTAGTCCTACTTCATTGCTCGATTCACCAATCATGCTCCCTAATTGTCATGTAATCAAAAGTGATTATCTAATTTAACCTGATTAAATTCTGAAACTAGACCTAATTGTTGGAGAGTGTTGGCCTCCATGGTTGTGTTCTGGTGCTTGCAAAGTAAACTATCATACGCATCAATTTTATATAAAAGTACACCAGAAAACATGTAATGTCATGACAGTGTTCGTCGGTGTATCGAGATCGGGAACCAAGATGAGTGAAGGTCGGCGATGAAAGTGTCTCTCTCGGTGAGATGTTGCCAGGGGTTGGAGATCTAGAAACCAAATTTAGTATTCCTGTGAAACAAGATCGGGGGAAAACGAGATATTATGGTCGGTGAAACGAGATCTGGTAACGATTCAGGAAGAAGGGAGACGGAGGAGGTGGCTGATGGTGGTAAGCGGAGGGAGGTGACGAGCAAACAGATCCAGGGAGAGGGAAGACGCACTCGTCTAGTAGTTCCGGCGATGTTAGGGTGGTGTCAGTGATGTTAGGGTGGTTCCGGTAGCGGTCCGATGAAGGTGAAGGTGGTTGACATTACCTTTAAGATATTAGAGATATCTAGAGATAGAAAGAGGAGAGAGATATGTAGAGAGAGAAAGAGGAGAGAGAAATTGAAGTCATATTTATCAAACGTTTAAAATTTCAACATTTAAAACTAGAAAGAGGAGAGAGAAATTGATGTCACATTTATCAAACGTTTAAAATTTCAACATTTAAAACTAACTAGCTGTGATACCGTATATTATACGGGTTGATTAAAACAAAATGTTAAATACAAATGATTAAACGGAAAGTTTATTTAATTTGAAATTTAAAATAAGTAAAATTATGAAAAAAAAAACATGAAAAAATTAAATTAAAATTATGTTTTTAGTTGTCAGACCCATGTATTAAAATGTTAATTATAACAAAATGTTAAATACGAAGGTTTCACTTGTAAATTTATTTAGAATTAAAATTGAAGTTTTAAATTCGAAATTTAAAATTTGAAATCAATATAGTTATTATGGTATGTTTAATTTATAGAAACTAAATTAATGATATATTAAAAAATGAAAAATGAATTAAATGACAAGTGGAAAATAAATATCTCAAAATTATGACAAAATGACATGTGGCATAATGCATGAGAGAATGACATGTGGCAAAATTATTTTCATTTATTAGGTAGGATTGATTTGTTCTCAAATGTTCTCAGTCTAAAAAATGTTCTCATTTGTTCATATATATATATATATATATATATATATATATATATATATATAATATATATATAGATATATATATATATATATATATGACACAATTTGCAAGATAACTAGTCTTTTTCAAGTATTCATATCATACTAAAGTAATTTTAAGCATTTGTACAAGTGCAAGTTCACCAATTCATTATGTCGAATAGAAAGTTAGTTTTGTTTTTTTACATAAAGATCAACAACGTTATAAGATGTTATAAGATATGTAGGTTTAAAAAAATAACCAAATTATACTACATAACCATATAACAACATGAAAATGATTTTATGTTTATTTATAAACATTGGTGATTTTCATGTTCATAAATAAACATGTTTATCTATGAACATGATCATTTTCATATGCTTATGTGGTTATGTGATATAATTGGGTTATGTGTTAAATCTCTCGGTTATGGTATATATATATATATATATATATATATATATATCTTTTACAATCCAATATTTTTCTGCGAATCATTCCTAAAATACGATTTTTTTTGTATGATATTTTTCAAAAAAGGCGAATTAATGCATTAAGTCGAACATATTTCATAAGGAAAAATCATAAAAAAATATACATATACGAAGAATGCATATGTGCACTTTTTACGAATATGTGTATTTTTTTTACATTTATGCACGATGATAGTGTGTGTGAGGATAGTGATGTGAAGAGTATGATGGCAAACAAGCGAATGGATGATGGTGATAACAGGTGACATTGGTATTGACATAATGATGACGATGTTCGGTGACTGTGAAGATGAATTCTTGAGAAAGAGAGAAAGAAACGTAAGCTATAATGAGAAAAGATAGAGAAAACGTTTGATAATTTTGGAGAATTATTCAATTACCTAAATTAGAGGATTACATTAAAATATAATTAATTAATTATTATATTAATTTACCATAAGTCACTTATCCATATTTTTTAAATGATTGGTTTAGAATGTGTTTTGCATTTACATAATACTTGTTATTTTACAAATGATCATAACTCTCTCTCTCTCTCTCTCTCTCTCTATATATATATATATATATATATATATATATATATATATATATATATATATATATATACACACACGCACGCACGCATAGAATTGTCACTTATGCCCTTTCTTTTATCATTAATGTCCTCTGATGGCCCACTACAACTAAGGGAAAAACCTATACACTCTTCCCTTAATATGACTTCATAATTTTTTACCAACCTTATGTCCTTCATTTGGAAAAGTGACAAATGGTATATTATTTGTGTGATTTGTTAATGGTATATTATTTGTGCGATTTGTTTCTTGTTCAAGAAATTTTCACCTATTATAAAATAAGTTTCATGTACTTCGATCAAGCTACATGTCCTTGGTTTCATCAAATTGGGTACTATTAATTGTCATTTATCAACTTGTCCAAAAACCTAAATGTTTTCATGATCAATTACTTATATATCTTGTTATTGGACATCACGAGTATTAATAAATGGCCTTTCCCTGGCTACAGGTCACAGAAAAGGATCTACAACATTCTAGAAATTTTCCATATCAACTTCTACATCATCAGTCAAGTCTATCTTATAAATACTAAAGTCACTACCACTAAAACTATCCATATCTTCACTATTTGTGCTTCTTTCATCTGCACCATCCATGTCTGAGTCCTCAAAGTCCCTATTCACATCTTTATCCGTTTATGTATGATATTGACATCACATGTTTTAAATTATATTCTTCTTCAAGGTTCCCAACATATGGAAAACTTTGATCCCCAAGATCAAATAATGGATCAAAGAAGTTAAGCCCTTCTTCATTAATTTTAGGAACAATTCAAATGAAATTGGGTTATTCTTTACAATCAATGGGACATCATGCATTGGTACATAAATACCATCACTCAAAGGTGGATCACTTGTAAAACTAGTGTAGCTTCGCAACTTTGTTCCTAGATGTACTTTTCAAATTGTATTATTGCTAGTGTGTTCTTTTCAAGTGGTATTATTGCTTGATTCAAGTCAATTTTATCCTCTTGCTATAAGATTTCACTTCTTTCGTCTTTGTCCTCATAGTAATGTACAATGGGGATGGGTCATCTACAATGTATTCAATGATAACTTACTATTGGACTTATAATATGATTGTATCCTTGTCTCTTGATGCTTAGTGCAAATCATGATCTGTTTCCACTTATTAACATAACTTAAAAGAGTAATCATATAGTAGTCGTTCCAAGTGACAGAAGACCAAAGCCTAACTAAACTTTTGGCATGAAAAAGTGATAGTATAAGGGTTCACGTTTGACATAACCTATTTCTAGCAACATGGTGTTCACTTCATGTACATAAAACTCCTCTTTGTCAACATTATCCACACAAGTTACCCTTCAATCTACATACTATCTTCTAGGTGCTTTGGTGAAAAAACAACCATGATTGATTTTCATTATAAATAGACCATGAAATCCCTATGTTAAATTAATAAGTATCTTCTTAACAATGACCCATATATATATATATATATATATATAGATATATATATATATATATATATATATATATATATATATATGATGGAATATTAGAAAAACAAACTTACTATAAATATCATTCATATCCATAGTTTATTATTTGGTACACAAGCTCCACATCTTGGCATGTAACTGTTGGATTAGTGTCTAAGCCCGTAACTATATTTGGTAAGTACTTGACCCGGTTGTGCATGGTCGTTTTGGGTTGCCGTCACCATAGCAACTTGACAGGGTGATTTATGAAGAGAGAAGAGATATTATTATATTAATATATTATGGTAATAATATATTAAAGGAATAATAATATTATTTGATTAATATTAGTCATAGATTAATCAAGAATTAATTAGATGACTAAAAGAGGTTAATTGAATAAAGGGACTTAAACTGTCAAATGTGTGATAGTTGTGTTTTTGGACTATGAATCCTTATAGATCATACGGTGGCTGAATTTAGGGTTTTGGACTCCTTGAATTCGTCCAAGCCTCATATCTAGAAGGATCCTTGGATTGCTTAGGGCCTAAGTTATTCAATTAGGGTTAAGGATGTAACCCTAGTAGCTCATAGTATAAAAGGACCCCATGGGTTAGGGAAATCGGCCACCTTGCTTCCTTGGGAACCCTAGAGCCGATTTCCACACCTCTTCCCTCTCTCCAAATCATCCTCTTGCTAGTTGGTGTTTGTAAGCCATTAGAGGAGTGACAATTGTGACTCTAAGCTCCAAGAACAAGAAGATTCAAGCAAGCAACTTAAGGTATTCATCTAGATCTGATTTCATATGTTATGATTCCATTGTAATCACTAGATTTAGCATTGTAAGCCTTGGATACATTGCATGTTCAATTAGAGAAACCTAGATCCAAGCATTAGGGTTTGCATGTGCACATAGGAAAGTTCTTATGGCTTAAACCCATCAGTAACATCTTCAACAACTTCAATATTCTCTTCATAAATAAATATGATTCAAACCTTCTACCAATGGAGTATGGTGATGAGATTAGTATAAGGGTTAGAGAGAGAGAAAAAAAAGAGAGAAGAGAGAGAGAGAGAGAGAGAGAGAGAGAGAAAGAGAGATAGAGAGAGAGAGATGAGGTTCTTGGAGAAGGATTGTAAGAGATATGATGGTCACCATCAAAGTCTCATTAATACTAAATACAGTGGAAATGAGTATGATGGGAAGTTGATTACAAGAAAAATTACATTTATGCCCTCGTGTGAGGGACACATTCATGGGATGGACAGAAGAAGAAGACATGGTTAATTCCAACGGACCAAAGGTGATACCAAACAGTGAAATAAGGACCATTCATGATTAAATCCCAATACTAACACCAAAACTAATATTTTGTGAAAACTATAGGAAAGCAAAATGTATTATATATATATATATATATATATATATATATATATATATATATATATATATATATATATATATATATATATATAGACACACACATACATATACAAAATCTAAATAGATTTATTTCATTACTTTCTTTTTTTGTTTTTGTTTTTAGATGTTGTAGTTTCTATAATACGATTGTATTTTTATTTTTTTTGTAGAACAACTAACACTCATACTCTAAATCCTACTCCTAAGCTACACATTCTTTATAACACCTCGGAATTTGCAGGTATTTCTAAATCCTCCCTTTTATTATTATGTTGTCATTTTTAGTCCTTAGGGATGGAATGGTGTAGCCATGAGATGCCCTAATGGCTAATATTGTAATTTTGGATCAAGAAGAGTACGTTGTGCGTACATATGGGTACGCTGAGCATACTAGGCGTGCCCCAATACGCTGGGTGTACACTTGTGTACGGTGGGCGCACTCACGTCAGATGGAAACCTTAATATTTAGGGTTTGGGTGG